CATTTGAAGTGGAAAGACTCACTCTGCTGGAAGGCTCCTGAATTTCTTCAGCTGAGTAATAAGAAGTAGAAAAGTAAAAGCAGTCAAAATAAAGCTAATCTGTAGAAGCCATTATTAGAGACTTTTTTCCCTGCCATGTGTAATGAGGAAATCTGCAAATCTGTAATGACTGGACACAAAGGTCTAGAGGTGCATGTATGTGTGCACAGACCCACACTTACTGAACAGTAACATTGGTCTAAACCTTATTTAAATGTTAGAAAAAACCTGTTCTACCTTATGCAAGTGGAGTAACAAAAGACTACAGTCTAGTACCCCCTAGTACAAAAATCACCTTAAACCACCTGATCAGAGAGAAGGGAACTACACCTTTATTGGCTAAAAACTAAATCTTAGAGAGCCGCAAATCCTCCTGCATATAGGCAGTTGTACCAAGATATGACAGCATACGGTCAGAGAGGTTGGCCAACTTTTGCAATTAGGTATCTTGTAAATCAGTGACCAGTCCCTAAAAGGAATTAAAATCTTTACTTAAATATTGTCCTGGTTTCTTGTGATATGCTATATCCTTCCCACTCCTCCTTTTCCTAAGAATGAAACTATGTGCTGCAATTTAATGAACAGGACAGGATGAAGCTGTGTGCATTTCTCACTAAGCTTGGTTCTCTACCTCCATCTAGTGGCACCTGGCATGTTACAAAAAAACCAATTTTCTTGATCATTCAGGAGTTTAAAAATCTGTAGTGGGCTGCCCCTGGCTGGATACCAGGTACCCACCACAGCCGCTCTGCTCTGCAACTGGACAGGGGACAAAAAGATATAATTAAAGGGCTCATGACTTGAAATAAGGACAGAGACAGATCACTCATCAATTACTACCATGGGCAAAACAGACTCAGCTCATGGATATCAGCTAATTTTATCCAAAAACGAGCAGCATACTGAGAAGTAAAACACATCTTAAAAACACCTTCCCTGGGCCTTATCTTCTGCCCTGCAGCAGTGTAGGGAAGGTGGGTTACGGTCAGTTCATGACAGTTTCTGCTGCTGCTGCTTAGGGAGACGAGTCCTTCCTCTGCTGCAGTGTAGGGTCCCTCCCACAGGAAACAGTTCTCCAGGAATTTCTACTGCTTGAGTCTATTCCACAGGCAACAGTTCTACATAAAATGCTGCAGTGTGGGTTACTATTCCATGTGGTCAGTCCTGTTCCAGCATGGATCCCCAAATGGGTCACAAGTCCTGCAGGAAACCTGCTCCAGCATGGGCTCCTCGCTCCACAGGCCTGCAGGTCCCTGCCAGAAGCCTGCTTCAGCACAGGTCTCCCACGGCTTCACAGCCTTTCTGCACACACCCACCTGCTCCAGTTGGGGGTTCTCCATGACCTACAGGTGGATCTCTTTATCCCCATGGACTTCCACTGCTCAGGAGGCACAGCTGCCTCTTCATGGGCTGCACTACAGGCTGCAGGAAATCTCTGCTCCAGCACCTGGAGCACATCCTGCCTCTCCTTCTCCACTGGCCCTGGTGTTTGCAGGCCTGTTCCTCTCACATATTCTCACTTTGCTCTTCTCTGACCACCAATACATCTGCAAAGTAACTTTTTTCCCCTTCTTTAATAGGCTGTTACAGAGGTGTTAACATAATTTCTGGTCCAGCCTTCTCCAGCAGCAGGTCCATCTTTGGAGCTCTGCCAGTCATAGATGAAGCTTCCAGTAGCTTCCCTGCCACTAACAAAACTTGGTTATGCAAACCCAGTACAAAACCAAATTAATGTAAACAGTCTTTTACTCAGAACACAGCAAAAATCTGTGGTGTCACTCTTAACAGGTATGTGGCAGCGGAAGGAGCATCAAGAAAATTTAAGCTTTGATGATATGTACTTGCTGAGCACAGCACCTTTTTGTCAACACAAATACAACTTAGAATCCCTAAAGAGAAGAAAGAGTGACACAAACCTGTATGCAACAGGTACCAGCCTAGAGAATCAAAAGGTAGGCAAGGTAGCGAAATCAACAGACCCAGCAACAAAATATGGCAGACCAAGAATCATGCAGGATTAAAGAATCCCTCACCAACCTAAACTTTTCAAGATCAGTGGAGCTGTGTTAGTAGTAAGCCCTGAAGTACAATGTTGCTGTTTCTTTGGAGATGTTGTTTGGTTTTGGTTTTTTTTTTTTTTTTTTTTTTTATTCTAAACAGATTAATCAACAGATTTTGTGATCTTAAGATAATCCTTAATAATGTTAATGTTTCAGAGAGATAATTGTCTTATGGTGGTGAGTACTGGAAATGCCTATGTTCAGTTTGATGATACAGAGCAGCTACCAAGCACTTCCAGCCGCCAGCAAAAGGTTGTATTGCCTGCCCACTACAGTCAGCAGTGGAAGTCCCAATCTGCTGAACAGGAATGGTTATGAAGTCAGTAAAACAATTTTAGCTGGCACAGAGGAGCTTTAGAGCACCTCCTGCAGACAGCAGTCAGGATTCCCCTCACACTGCTGGCAGAGTAGTACACAGTTTTAACTTCCATTGCGAGCTACGCTCAGTTGATCAGCCCTGATAATGCCAAGGGAACCACAGCATCATACACAAATACCCTGGCATGACAGCCTGCCAGCATGAAGTGAAAGATCAAGTTTTATTTATAGACTGTTACGCTGCATCTCCTGAGACCACCCACAGACTTCCTCTGCCACAATTCAAACATAATCCCCCATTTTACATTTCCCTCCTTCAGTGGTTTAACTGCAGCCAGCAGCTCAGTCCCTCACAGTCACTCTCACTATTCCACAGTGATATGGGGAGAAGATTTGAAGGACAAAAGTGGCAGAACTCATGGGCTGAGATAAGGACAGCTGGAGTGAGGTGGGGAGGGAAAAAACTCAAGAAACTCCAAGGAAAACAAATGATGCAAAAGCAGTCTCTCACCACTAGCTGACTGATGCCCAGCCATTCTGCCCAGCCATTCCCTGAACAGTGACAATGCCGGAACATTCTCCCCAGGTCACAAATCCAAAGCAGCATCATAGGCTGCTATGGTGGAAATTAACTCCATTCCAGCCAGATGTAGTACACCTCTCCAAATTTAAATAAAGGAAGAAATACTGCTCAGTGTATTTCTTTTTCCTAAATTCTAGAAAGCCTTGGCACCTAGAAGAAGCAGCAATGTTAATTTTCTTTCTTAAGAGGCTTGCTTTCTTTTTTTATCTTAATTTAACAGACAGGCTGATAATTAAATGTCTCTTTACAGACATTTTTATTAAAAAAAAAAAAAATACTGGACAAACCAGTTAGGAAACCCTTTGCCATATTTGCTCAGGTAGGTCTTATTCTTCCAAAAGAAATTTTAAAATACAAATGCCTCAACCAATGTCTTATCAGAGCATTTTTTCAAAACAAAACAAAACAAAAAAAAAACACAAAACCAAAATGCTTTCCTGACTGTCCTTCACTGCAAGTGCATTTTCTATGCTATTTTTTTCCTGTTTCCAGTCTTCATAACTTTTAATGTGTATCTTTATATTTGATAATCTCTTTTTGTTTGAGCTCCGAAAGCTCAGAGAAAGCAATAGGAGTTTTACCAGTAAGAAAGCTTTAAAAAAGAAATCAAGAGAAGATGTAGCAAAAGGTTTCATTCGGCTTATCACAGCATGCAAGACACCAGAAGTAACCAAGTCCTTCTTTCCAGAAGTTTCACGAAGTCTATCTGAGTTAAAGGGGATTTTGACAGAGCTGACATTTGGCTAAAGTATGATTTTATGCAAACTCTTTTTTCCCCTGACTCCAAATATATAACAGGAACAATTCCAAGTAACAAAGTTCAAATGTAAGTTTTTTTTTACAGTTTACACACCCCCTGACAGCTGCCCCACACCCCCCACCTGCCTTGCGGAGATGTTGTCCCCCATGCCTTTGTGTCCCTCCGTGCCAGCTGCCCCTCATGCCGGGCCAGGATGAGGGACCTGGCCTGGCTGTCCCCCGTTCCTGACGGTCACTTGGTACTGAGGAGTAAAGGAGGGTCGAAAGGGCGCGTCTTCCTTACGCTTCCCTCTCTTAAACCTCTGGGGCACCAAAGCGCCCCGCTCAAGGGGGCCTGAGGGCCTACGCTCGGCTTTCCGTGCTACCCTGTCATTCTTCCTTCTCTAAAGCCCTACAATTGGCTGGTTGATGTGAGCGCACTTGGAAATGGGGAAAATGAGATGCTTTCAAAGGGAGGCAATCCTTCTGGGTAACTACTGCAGTGTTTCAGCAACAGAATTTGAAGACAGTGCTGGGCCTTGCATCAATTGCATTGATTTTGAAATGTCACCCTCAGCTTCTGAAGTGTGAGGAGCCCGGGGTAAAGCTCCTTGAAAGACTGGACTGTGCTGTCCACCAGCAGAGGACTTGTGGGTGCTGAGTCACCAGGAAACCAAGCTAAGTCTGGGATCCTTGTTCTACAGGTGAACCGAGTTGATTTCCAGAGGAGTTGCGTGCACTTTTCCGCCATCTCACGCAGTAATTTCTTTCTGCTTTCAAGCTGGCTCCTGGGTCTACCTGAAGATTTTAACAGAGAGGGGATTGACTACAACTCATTTTCATTGGGATGTGGCTATGCAAGGGTCTGCAAGGAATCTTACAGGGAGCACGGAGCCTGGGCAAACATCTGTGAGGCTGCGGCTTTGGCCTGTTCCAAAGGGCCCTTCCTTGGGCTCGACATCTGCAGGGCGTTGCAGATCAGTGGGCTGCAGGCTGCTGCCAGAGCTCCCACACAACACAACTGTGGCAGCCCAGGAACCACTGCAAACCTCCTGTGGTTGTTCTGAGGCTTTCAGTGGCCAGAGAAAGAGCAAGCAGGACAAGAGGAGCTTTGTGTCAAGAGCTAAGCCAGCATCTCCCTGCCACAACAGGGAGGCCGTGCAGCAAAGGGAGTGGGAGCAAAAATCAACATGCACCGGTGTGCTCAAGAAGCAGCTGCACACTGCAATACTCTTGGAAATTTATTTTCTTTGCTTCTTTTTCCCCCCTACATGTGATGGAAGAAGTTGGCTTTTCAGAAACAACTAAGATGCCAGGGAGAAGAAGCACACTTGCTTTTTGTTCTTGGGTGCAGGCTGGGCTGCCGTGTCTTCTGAGTTCCCCTGGGATGCCTTGAGCTCTGGCGTATGGACTGGAAGGACATGTTCTGCTGCTTCATGACTGAGGAGAACTTCCCAGGCTTTTCTCTTGTGTCAGCTGTAGAGAAGATTCGGTTGCTGGGCACAACAAACCCAGAGCAGCTGGCTATTGTGAGGTCAAGGCAGCGGTGTCACGTCACGGTGCTCTCAGCACAGCGACGTCCCGGTGTGCCCAAGGCCTGGTTGTCCAGAGCAGCTTTTCCGCTCGCTCCCTGCAGGAGGATCCTTGCGCCCAAGGAGTTCTCAGCAGACGGCCTGCACGCCGAGAGGAGTCTTGCTTTTCCCCTTGGCTGGCATTCAGTGTGCAAACCCGCAGAGCACGGCCAAAATGTTCGGGCGGGTCTGTGCCGCGGTTTGCACCATCTTTTCTGTTGCTTATTCTAGATATTACCTGACCCACCTGACTCGTAAGTAAAGGTTTATCCTGGGGCTGGCGTCCCCTGGCTTTTGCTTCGCTCTGCTCTATAGGCCGCGGTAGTGACCGAGTTGACCTGGGAACAAAATTGCCGTTAGGATGCCACCAGTTTGGTAAATCTCCTGCCAGCAGCATCAGCTAAGAAGGGGGTATCTGTGCTGGGTGGTAGGCGCAGAGTGTTTGCAATGCCATTTGCAGCCTGCAGTGCTTGCCTTCCCTCCCCGGGACAGCGCGTGGCAGTGGAGTCTGTCATTTCCTCAGCTTGCTGCTTCAACCAAGACAACCTGGAAATTGTGGACTCTGGGGGGAGATGCTCAGAAGTTCTTCTCAAAACCCTGTGGCTCTCTCCAGGAGTGAAGGAAAGCATCTTTCGCTCCAAATGCTGCCATTTAGAGGCCGTCGCTGTCTGCCTTGACCCTTCTAGGGTACGCCAAGGTAGCCATTCCCCAGGCGATGCAGCACCAACTCCAGTCCAGTTAGGCTTTGCTGCTGAAGGCAGGAGCTGTTGCGGGGCCGCTGCAGCAGAGAGCTGCCACAGCAAAGGGGCCCTTTGTGGAAGCTTTGCTGTTGTATTGTCTTCCAGCAACTGATGGGAATGACTTGTGCATGCAATTTAAAAAACTATCTATAAAATGCAGGGAAGCGAAGAGGAAAAATTGCTTGATCTGTTGGGCAGAGCAGAAGCTCAGCCTGTTAAAGAACAACTGGCATTTCCATGGCCGTGTTTCTATTTCTTTCCTGGCAAAAGAGGCCCAAATGTAGACAGCGCCTACTCTAGTGTCCTTGTTTTTTCTCTTGCTTGCTGTGGGAAAGGGCTGTTGCTCCTGGAGGCATGTTGGGAAAGGGAAATGCTCTCCGTAGGGAATGACTTGTGCTGTGGGAGCCCCCAGCACAGGCACTTTTCTAAGAGCCTCTGGTTCCTTTTCCCTTGCTCCCTGCAGGTCACCTCACACGTGGATGGAGACAAGCCTGTGCTTTGGTGAGTGGCAAAGGAACCTCTGACGTTGCTGGCGTGTAAGAACTGTGCAGCAAGCTGTGAGCTTGGCCTGTTGCAGTAGAGTGTAGAGTGCCAGCGTGGGAGGCTGAAGGAAAGGCCAGCTGCCTGGTGGCAGCAGCAGTAGCAAAGGGAGCACTGGCTCCTTCCTTATTTTCCCATCAAGAGCCTTTCAAGAGGTGAAAAGCAAATGTGACAGCTGCAAGGTGTCTTGCTGCTTCTAGCCAGCATGGAAGATCAAATGCACAGCAAGAGGCAGTGCCACCTCATTCAGCCATCTCCCTAGGGCTTTCATGACTCCGAATTCCACTTGTATCCAAGTCTATGATTTGCCCTTATTCTGGGGGCTTTTCCAGCACAGTAGAAAGCAGCTGCGAAAGGATTGGCTGTTCCCAGTCTCTCTCACTTCTGTCTGTCTGCAGGGCTCAGCCGCAGGGTCAGCGCCTCGTCTGGCTGGCACTGTTACTGAGGGAGAGGCTGAAGAGGAGCAAAACAGCATCAAGCCTCCAGCTGCTGTCCCTCCACAGGCTGAACTTGCAGAGCCAGTAAGTGGCATCTGAGGCTGGCCCTGCCTTTGGTGCAGGGCCAAGCTTCAAGCCAGCCCTTCAAACCCAGCCCTTGTTGCTTGCGGCTGAAGATGCGGGGGGCTGTGTGCCTGCCATGACCTAGTGCTGCTTCAGCCAAGCCAGGGAGCCCTGGCCAAAGGGTTCTGAACTTTGACACTTGAGCGTCACTTTGCTGGGATGCTGAGAGGGCTCGAGAATGTCTCTTGGCATCAGACAAGAGGCAGCATGCAATTATTCCCAGCGTAGAAATGAGCCCCTTGTGCCCACTGTCAGTGCGGGCTGCCTGTGGCCAGCGGACAGAGCGCTCCAAGGACTCAGCTGACAGCCTTGCAGGATATTTGGGAAACATTGGCCCCTGGAAGGGACAAGCCAGACTCCGTGGACTAATTAGGTTCAGGCATAATGTAGACTGCGCTTCACTTCCACATGGCCAGAGCAGGGTTTGGTGAGGAGAATCCTAGAGGGCTCTGCATTGTAAAGGGTGGGTGGGGCTCAGCAGGGCTGGAATGCAGCCCCAAAGGGCCGCCCCCTAATGCCTGAAATACAGAGGGGAAATCAGTGAAAGGGATCAGAGAAGGGACACGCTCTGGGCTTCTGGGCAGACAGTTGCATGCCGGCTCCAGGGTGATTTCATTGCCCAGGAAAACACAGGAGGAGGAAGAACCGCAACAAGGCTCTGGAGCCCTGCTCTCATCTCTTTGTGGATCTTTGCAAGCCCAGCAACAGCTTGTCGCAGTCGTCGTGCAGAAAGGCCAGCACAATGGAGCAAGGAAGTGGCCATGAGGGGCTGTATCAAAGTAGCCTTAGTGGTTTTCCCATTGCCTCTGAGAAGGGGACGTCCAAAAGCCCCCAGCTGAGGAGGCCTGGCGGTGGCCGACAGCATCTTCCAAAGGCCTTGCTTTTGCCTTGTGCTCTCCGGGGCGTCTGTGCCAGCCGCCCTTCTGACGGGCAATCCTTTCTGGTCCCAGCTCAAGACAGGCTCTGCGATTCAACGTGCCGCTGGACCAGCGTCGCCTGCAGCAGCCAGCTCTCCCCCAGCTGCCAGCACTTCATCCGGCAGCCCAGCCCAGCAGCCCGAGATGAGAGAGGAGCAGGGCCTGAAGACACTGAGTACGTCTGCTGTGTTTCTTGTCTGCCAGAGCAGTGCGTTGTCTGCGTGTCTCGGTGCAGGCGGCGCCAGAAGTTCCTCCTCGCTCTCGGAGGCGCTTAGGCCTCTCTGCAGAAGCTGTTGTTGTGCTTTGAGGCAGCGAGGGAGCGCTTGGGGTGTTTCTGCTGCCTCTGGGGGCAGCTGGGCTTGGCTTGGCTCTGCCTGGGCTGCCTTTCGTGCCAAAGGCAAAAGCAGAGATTGTTTCTGGTTGAGCAGAAGGGCTGGCACGTCGCGAGTGACTGGGCCCCAGGGAGCTCTCAAGCTCCTGACAGTGGGCACGCATTTTGGATTGTGCGGGCAGCAAGGCCTCCGGTTGAAAGTGAGCCCCTTGCACTGCTTTTGTCTTTCTCAGGGAGCATTGTGAGTCTGGGCGAGCCAATGAAGAAATACAGGGCATTTGAAGAACTTGGACGAGGGTAAGTGGGACGTCTGCTCCATAGAACAAACCATGGGCCGGGTCTTCAGCTTGTGCAATATCAAGCGTGAAGTCAGGCGAGCTCCAAACATGGTCAGGCTCGGGCTTTGCCTCCTGCCACCTCTCAGGACGGCTCAGTCAGAGCAGTCAGGAAGCATCAGCAAAGACAAGTTGATGCAAGCGACGTCTGGCTTGCAGCAGTGAGGAGCAGGACCTGGGAGATCTCCTGCCCCTGTGTCTGTATGGCCTCAAAGGGCACCTTGCCGCTCAAGAGCTGCCTGAGAACAGTTCTAAAAGGCAGTGTTTTCCAAGTTAGTCTTCTCCAGATGTAAACCCAGATGCACACCTGTGTGCAAAGCCACAGACAGAGGGAGCCCCCCTTACACTGGAATGGAACCAAGTGGGCGTGTGCCTTGGAGATTTGCAGGGTTCCTTGGTCTTCATGTGGGAGCTCAGTGTTCTCTTGGACACCTGATCCTGCGTGGCAGAGGGCTGGTGGGCTGACGTGCTGCCGGCTGAAGAGACGCCGCTGCCCGGCGTTTTCTAAGGAGTCCAGGCAGCCTAGGGAGATCTCCTGCCTAGGCTTGCTTTCACTGCCAGAACTGTAAAGGGCTTTTTCTGCTGCCGTTTTCTTTCTAGGGGCTTTGGAGCTGTTTCTAAAGCCCTCGACACCAGCACAGGACAACAGGTGAAGTGTCAATACCCGCAGCTGTTTCTCCCTAAGCTCTGCTGTCTAGCAACAGGGCAGTTTGGCACAGCTCGCTGTGTCACGGCACGAGCACTCGCTCCGTGTTCCTTGAGGTCTCGTGCAGGGAGTGACTTCTCAAGTTAATGGTCGCCAATGTCTTTTCAGGTGGCCATCAAGATAGTGTCTCTTCAGGAGAAGACGTCCGAGGAGCTGGCTGTCAATGAAATCCTGGTGATGAGGGACACCAGGAATCCCAATATTGTCAGCTACTTAGACAGGTTGGGGTGTTCTCATGTCTGTGTAGCTTTAGAGAGTGCAAGCCAGAAGTGACAACGCCCTTTGGTCGCCGGCAGAAAACAGAGCCGTTTAGCATTTCCCTACTCATCTGCAGTGCGCAGGAGGAGTTTGCAGCTGGTGTTCAGTAATCTCTTCTGGCATGTGTAGCTTGGAGAGCAGTTGCAAAAGCCCGGGTCAGGCCCTGGGGTGCCTGAGCTGTGCCTGTTCCTCTCTGTCTCTCTCCATGCCGTGGTTTCCTCCTTTCAGCTACCTGGTGGATGCGGAGCTCTGGCTGGCGATGGAGTTCATGGATGGCGGCACGTTGTTTGATGTGCTCAGGGCAGTGTACCTGGAGGAAGGAGAGATAGGCGCCGTCTGTCGGGAGGTGAGGCATCCCGCTTGTGCTTCCCCTGGCCTGCCCAGGATGCTTCTTGTCAACTGGTGGTTAAGGAGAGCAGAGATTTCTTGCCCCCGGCTTTCTTTTGGCGCTGCTCTCACGACACAGAGGAGAAGAAAGAGCATTAATCTGAAGTGAACTGCCTGCCGGAGTCCCCGCGCGCCTTAGGCTCTGTTCTTGCACTCTTCCATGCTGTCTGTCCTCTGGCACTCGTGCTCGCTCACCTGCTTCGTTTCCTTGTTTCCTCCTCTCAGCTTTGCCTCTGAATGTTTGCCTGGAGCCTGTCCGTCTGTCCTACATTCCTTGACATTCTAAGCCCGCATGCCGGTGGCAGAATTTCAAGCCACGGGCGAAGGAGATGTCCTCAGCTTCAAAACATGGCATTGCAGCCCAGATGACGAGGGATTCTGAAACAAGTCTAATGTGCTGCCTCCTCCTCTGCTGCCACAGGGCTTCCAATGAAATCGTTGCCATGCTGCTTGCCAGCCAAAGGTCACGTGCTTGGTACCAATGGCAGGATGGACTTGTGCGAGCTCAGATGCCTTCGCTTTGAAATATCGAAAACACTTCGAAGGGTGTTGAAGCAGCAAGCTCTTCCTCTTGACAGCACCGTGCTAGTGCGCCCTCCTTCACAATTCCCTGAGAAAGCTGTCAATCTCTTGGAGCCCTTTCCTTTCTTCTGGGATCAAATCAGATGCTGAATGTTAACTTTCCTTCCCTCCTTTCTCTCTCAGTGCCTGCAAGGACTGCATTTCCTCCATTCCCGCCGAGTCATCCACAGAGACATCAAAAGCTGCAACGTTCTCCTGGGCATGGACGGATCTGTCAAGCTGGGTGGGTATCCCCCCTGCTCAGGGGCAGCGTTCCCCGCGTGTGCTGTGGGGCTGCTTTTTGGTGACTGCCACTTCCCCAGAAGCGCTGCTCAGCCAGTGCGTGAATGGTGAGGGTGTTTCCGAAATGGCCAATGCCCTATTTCCCTGGCTCCAGCCACGGGGAAGGCGAGCTCAGCTGCGTTTTCAGCTAGACTCGGCATGGCCTTGGCAGGCTTGGAGTGGGCCATCCTTTAGCCCGGTTTGCCAGCAGGGGCTGGCTTTGAGAGGCTTTGTTTTTCTCCTCAGCTGACTTTGGCCTCTGCGCTCAGCTCAGCCCTGAGCGCAGCAAGCGCAGCTCCAGAGTGGGCACTCCCAGCTGGATGGCCCCGGAAGTGGTGAGAGGAGAAGCCTACGGCCCCAAAGTGGACATCTGGTCCCTGGGGATCATGGGGCTGGAAATGGTGGAAGGGGAAGCTCCTTACGAGAGGATAGCCCGTGTCAGGGTAAGGTGCAGCTTAGCAAGGGGGCTCTGTGTGGAGAGAGCTGTTGGGGCTAGGAAAAGAGCAGCTCGAGTGTCCTCTTCCATCCATGTGCTGTAGGTTTTTGAACTGATAGAAATGAACGGGCCCCCAAAACTGCAGAACCCCAGGCACCACTCGGCTCTCCTGTGCGACTTTCTGCGCTGCTGCCTGCAGGCAGACGAGGACAGGCGCTGGTCTGCCCAGGAACTCCTGCAGGTAAGAAAAAGCAAAGGGGCAAAAAGCCCTGTGAGCTGAGGACACCTGCATCAAGGGATCAAGAGGAGTGTGGGCTGCGTGGGTGAGACAGGTTCCAGGAGAGGAAGGCCCACGGGGAATGTGCTGCCCTCAGTCCTCTTGGTGTGTCTTTTGGGCAGCCAAGGAGTCCTGCTTGGGCCCGTGAGGATGTGCTCATGGAAAGTAATGGGGGTTCCTTTCTTTTTTGGTTTCTCTTCCGGGCAGCATCCGTTTGTGACCTCAGGCGAGCCAGCCTCCAGCCTGGCTGCTCTGGTCACCTCAGCCAAGCAAGTGCTGGAAGACTGGAGAGGAGACGCTTGCGCCTGAAGAGGCCCTTGTTAATGTATCAAACCAGATTATTTTTTCTGTTCAACAATTAGATTCTCTTTATGTGTTCATTACAGTGCTGATTATGTCAAGTTAAAACAATAAATAAAGATAATTACATTAAGATCATGATTCAAATTTCAGTGTAGTAGGATGCAAAGAGGCACATTGTTGGAACATTCAAAATTTTATAAGGTTTGAAACAAAACATACTACAAAAATGGTTCCCTCTTCTGTGGACCAGCCAGATTTCCAAGTAATGCCTTACACAGGAAAGGCACTAGGCAAAAAGAAAGTCTTCTCTGAGCCCTTAATCACAGTCCGCCACTCTACATCCAACTGGTGCATCTGCATTTTGCTTGAGTGATGTCCTGTGATTAGTACTCTCTGAAATGAAAGACTACCTGTAAAGCCCTGAGCAGGGCCATGTGGTCACTGAACGTTCCGGCAGCAAAACGCTTCCTGCACAGCACAGCTGCATGCTTTTGGGAGGCCAGCGTGGGCAGCACAAAAGGGTCTCGGTAGGCAAGAGCACAGGCAATGGTCAGAACAGGATCCAGGCACTTCAGAACTACAGCATACAACACCATTTTACTGAGGTGTGGCTCTACAGGTAATTCAGTGAGGTGATAACCAAGCTCAGTGAGATCTTCCCAAGGGTCCATGGCATCTATGGTCTGTTCATAAACAAACAAACAAACAAATAAAGGAGAGGGGGATGGGTATCGTGGACAAAATCAATTTACAGTGAAAGCAGAAAGGATGTGAATAATGAACATTAACTAGACTTGTTTCCAAACACTAAAGAAGCAAGTCAAACTATTAACGGAGACAAGACTTTGAAGCACTCTCTTCCCTTGACATGGAAAAACACATCCCCACACACAAAATGAAAACAGACAATAAACAAAACTTCAAAACATCCTTCAGTAATTAAAAACAGCTTCAGTACAAACTGAAGTCAGTAAACTGCTACACCACAAATTTGGGATCAAACACAATTACCATCTAAACCTATTCCTTTTCTGACCTTAAGCATATGCACAGCATTTCTCACAGTTACAGCAGGCAGAGGATCAGGAGCTTTCATAAGCAAGTCTACAATTGGACAATTAATTGGAACCAGAATTTTTGTGTACAAACAGATCTCCTGCAAGGTAAAAGGCAGAACAAAAAAAGATTGCCAAGATTTGGAAGCAGCCACCAAACACATGATTTGTTGCAATTAATAGTATGGTTTGAGGACATTGTGTTTTTTAAAATTATAGTTTCTAACTGAATATGCACCTGAAGCGGCATTCTTAGAAGTTCTGGAGATTGAAATTCCAGCATATTCTGAAATCGGAGCCTGCTGAAGAGACGAAAGCAGACTCCAGGCTGACAGCGCCCAGCCCTTGAAAATAAAATATGGAAGGTTGTGCAAATGAGGATTTCTTTCTAAAAACAAAACCAAAAGCCAACAAACAGACACAGAAACTCAGAATGGAAAAGAAGAGGCAGTACTATGAAGAAAGTGTTAAGTCACACGCAAAGTGAGAGTTTTCTAATCATGAATTATTTTTGAGAGTGTGGCAATTTTTTACTGTAATTTTAACCCAAATCTGGAGGAAAGAAAAACAAGGCTTATCTAATGTAAAGTGCTGTGGGTTTTTTGCTAACCTAAGACCAGTTCAAATCTCAATCATCCTTTGTTGTAAGGAACCAGTTGCAAACTTTATTGTTTCCCCTCACATGCCCTAAACAGAAGTGATGCTTGGAGTAAAAGGTAGAATAAAGATGAAGTAACTTGTGAGTGAATGAGAGACAGCAAATTCTCTCAGTCATATACATCTATGTGCATACGTGCAGCTTAATGCCAATATGATTGATTAAACAGGCATTTGTTGCTACATAAACTTCTGAGCCCTCACCCACAGTGCTGGGAAGAATATAATCATGGCCTGTTAAGTCATGGATAGCTTGGAGAAAGTGAAATAGGCAGTCCTCTGCCCACAGACATGATGTGAAAACACCCCACTGGACATTGTGACTGCTGGTGCTACGTGGGAGAAAGAGGAAGGAGAACAAATTAATGGGGGGAAAAAAATCCAGACCTTTGGGAAATGCCTGAGCGTCACTTTTCTACAACTTGGGAGATTATTCCAAGGAAATACATGCTGACGCCTACTTACCTGCAGAGAACGAGTGTTGGCCACTATGCAACACAACACTGGACTAGGCCAGAAACAGCTACTATGTTGTGTGCTTTATTCTAAAAGGACTGTGGATATCTGCAAAATGGAAACCGCTATGAGGCATTTATTACCTGCCTTTTCTCTGGATAGCACTGGCTTTTGAAATCCACCCAATTTTTAGCATTGTAACACGACTCAGTGCATCAAAAGACTTCTAGAAAAACAAAGAAAGGAATGCAAACTGAAAACTCAATAGGGTACATGAAATACAAGTTATTTAGATTACCAACAGAAGTTTTCTAAAAAGTATGAAATAGTGATATATACAGCAGCTTCTGACACAAAGGTACCTTCTCAATTTCAAGTGAATTAATGAGGGTATCTCCTTTCTAGTATCGGAATGCTTCACAATTTTTGAAATTCAAGATTTTCAAGGTTTTTTAGACAGATAGCTTATAGTTTGCCGAGAAGGCAACCGTGGGGCATCGTCAGGGTGTAGGGGAATTTGAAAGAAACAATCTTTGATATCTATCACTGCCAAATTCCAGTTTCGGGGGAGCATGGATGGGGACGGCATCCCTGGTTGAAGAGACCCCATATCCTTGATGACTTTGTTTATTTCTCGGAGATCGTGAAGGAGCCGCCATTTGTCTTTGTTAGGTTTTTTGATGACAAAGATGGGGGAGTTCCCCAGCGAGGTGGTCTCCACGATGTTGCCCTTTTTGAGCTGCTCCTTCACGAGGTCCTCGAGCGCTTCTAGTTTTTGTTTGTTGACTGGCCACTGTTCCATCCTAACTGGTTCATCGGTTAGCCAATTCAGTTTTTGGGTGGGGTGCTCCTCAGTGACCGCCACCCGAAAAAGCTGGGGAGGCTTTGGGATGTCAATTTTTGCCCCCCACTGGGCCATCAGGTCTCTCCCCCACAGGGGTTCCGTAAAGTCTAAAATGAATGGGCGTATTGAAGTCAATTGCCTATCCGGCCCCTCAATTTGCACAATGCTCTTTGATTGACGAGCCAATTGGATGCCTCCTACACCTTGCACGTGACCGGCCATGTTCTGCAATTCCCAAATGTGACGACCACTCCCGAATGGGAATGATCGTCACATCTGCACCTGTGTCCAGGAACCTCTGCATTGTATTTTGTTCCCGGCGGAAATTGAGGCCGCATGTAATTTTCGGCTTGTTCTCCTCAAGGGCCTGTGCCCAGTAGACAGATGGAATGAGCCTTTTCTTGAGGTTAGCCGTCTGCTCCCGGTCCCAAGGTGGTTCGAGGACTGGGATGGCGGCGGTCCAGCATCGGCGGTGTAAGCATGTCGGGTCGGTCTTGATCTGGCTGGCGGTGGTACGGCCAGTGCAGGTTCCCCCGTGGGTGGATCTTCTGTCGTCGAGAGGTCTACTTTCTTTTCACATACCTCCAGCATATCCTGCAAGGTCGGCTTCGGCTCCAGTGGGGCTCAGGATGGCTGCTTTGCATGGTCCATTGGCATTTACACTTACAGCTGCAATCTCCTGCAGCACCTCCTGCCTTGCCATCTCGTCCTTGATCTGGAGCTCCACTGACCTGCAGAGCCTCTCGACAAAGTCTAGAAAAGTCTCACTGGGGGCCTGCACGATCTTAAGGTAGTTCAAGACTGGACCCTTCGGTTTTAAATTCAGAAATGCCCTTTCCGCCGCCCGCATGGATTCCTGCAATGCGTCCTGGGGAATTTCTGAGGCCTGTCACCCTCCATCAGCCCACTCCGCTTGGCTGCAGAGGTAGTCGAGGGAGAGCATCCTTCCTCCTGCGTCATGGGTGGTGGCCAGGTTCTCCCAAAGTTGGTATAGGGAGGCCCGGACCTCCTTCCACCACTCTGTCTCCCACCTCAAAAACTCCATAGGAGTCAAGAGGCAGGAAAAGAGTTGGCAGATATTGTCAGGGGTAAGGTTGGTGGAGAGTGTGGCCATCAGCATCCCCTGAAAGCATTCGCTCTCCCTAGTGAACTCCCGCTGCGCCCTACATAACTCTTTGGTGACCCGGAAAGGCAGCAGGGTCCACTGGGTGCGAGTGCCGCCCTCAGCCTGCGGGATATACATGACCGGCACAGCCAGGATTGTCTGTGTGGGACTGATCTGATCAGGAGCGGAACCTGATGGTAAATGAGCACAACTTCCGTCCCCAGGCCCCCCCACCCCGGTCCCACTATCGTGGGAACCGGAAGGGGCACCATGGGAACCAGAAGCCAGCTCCAGATGGGAGGGGCCAGGGAACTGGATGGAGCCAGTGGGAGGAGGTACCTCCGCCTTGGGGGAGTGGTTTAGGGAGGGGTCAGATTTGGGGGTGTAACTTTGGGAGGAGCTAAACACGTGGGAACCAGAAGCGGAGCTGGGGGAGGGACTGCAGGGAGGAGGAGGGGCAACGGAAAGGGAGGAGTGGGAACCTGGGGAGGGGTCGAAGGACAGGAAGGGGTTGGAAGAGGAAAGAAAGGGATTGTGGAGAGGAGAAGACCAAGGGGCGGGAAAGCCCACGTGGCACCCACCATCTTGTCCCTCCTCGGTGCCAGCGCCATTTTGACGAGGACAGCAAGTGGCAGGAAAAGTCATGTGGCATCCGCCATCTTGTCCTCTCCGGGGGCCATCTTGGGGTGGTGGGGAATCAGGAATATTAAACCTTATAAACTGTCGGAACTCAAAATGTCCCTCAGACATTTTTAGAGGTTCCAGGCCTTGGTCAGAAGCATTTTAGACCCTGGCAAGCAGCTGAGAACAGCTGTGATTTTGAGTTTGAACCATGGAATGAATTACTAACTTTAAAGGTGGAACAAGCAGTCACAGAGGGTTAGATGGTATAGTAAAAGTAGTCACAAATTAGAGGGTAAAATTTTTTAGTATTGTACAGGGGGGTTTTAACACCTGTACAGGGGGGTTTTACTTTGTACAGGGGGGTCAGGAGTTCTAAGATGGAGGAAAGTGGACCTGATCCTGTTCTTCCTCCTTCTTCTTCCTTACCTCCATGTTCTTGGTGATGTTGGCATTTTTCTATTGGTTTAGGCTAGGGACACACTGTTCAACGTAGATGATAGATATTGGCACATTATTGTAAATATAGTACACGTAATTTCTGGTATATAATGTTTGTACCATCCCACTGAGGGGCAGAGCCCCGCACGCTGCCCTGCAAGACAGACCTGCGGCAGGGCAGCAGAACATGTTATAGATAAGCAAAAATAAACAACCTTGAAACCAGCACAGACGAACTATGGCTTCTTCTTTGGCAACGGGGCAGAAAGACAGAGACTTTCTACAATCTCGGAATCACCAATACCCACAGATTCCGACAATTGGCGTCCCTGCGCGGGCATCAGCAAGAAGAACAAGAAGAAACATCAAACAACCTCCAACCTTCATCAGCAGAGAAAAACAAAAAAATAAAGAAAGGAAGAGGAACAGAGCACAAATGCTCTCGGCAGATTCCGGGAGGACAGGGAGCGGAAACCTCAAGATAAGAACCTGACCTTCACCAAGACAGCTCGTCTGGAGGACAGCCAGGAGGAGGAAAACCAGAAGCGCGCCTGGGATTTCTCGCCTGTGACCTGCTGGACGATGAACAGTGCCATCTCCGGACTGACCTCGTGCTGACTCAGCTTTTGGTGAGAATGGTTGAAATTAAGAACATGGGGAAGGGGTGCTCCCAAGGACAGACAAAAAATTTTTTTCAGCCCTACAGGGCAAGACTTTTACCCATCTGGTAGAGATAGCCTCAAATGAGATGAAAGCTTTGTTATTGTGGGTGCAGTATACTCACCCGCACACAGATGTACATCTTTTGTTTGAGTTAAATTTTTGGCAAGGGATCAATAAGCAACTGTATTACCGAGCCACAGGAAAAAGAGAAAAAAAAAAAAAGATAAGACTACCGCAAAAACTTTTGCCTTCAGCAAGGACAATAAGAGTCATTTTCACAACGCAGCATTTTAGACTAAACAGCTAAGGCTCCTATGGGAGCACAAAGAGGAAGATGGCCCAGCCAGCAGCTTCGGGCAATTTTCCTCACCAGGGGAAGCGAATTGCCTCCCGAAGAGGATCAGGGGGGGTGGTGTCTCATCATGTCCTGTGTCTCCGGGTTCACACTATTCCTCAAAACTCCCTCAAATCTCAATTTCTAAGCTCCTCAGCTGCAGAAAATCCCCAGACAGTGAGACAAGCCAGGCACAGACGCAGCCCTCGGTGGGGGAAGGGACTGGCCACTGCCCGAGTCCGAACCCACAGTGGGGGGGCAGCGGCGCCGGCGGCTCCTGGGGGGAGGGTGCAGACGTGAGTGTAGAGCGGAGGGAAAAGTGAGAGAGAGGAGAGAACTCTCGCAGCTGCGCGGGTGGGGAGTTCAAAACAGCCCGCGGTGCAGGCGAGAGGGGGGGGCAGTGGGAACCACGCGGACGCAGGAGGCGGCGGAAGCGCGGATGGGGCGGTCAGACGCCCGGAGCGCCCGGTGATGCGTTCCATGACGGGAATCCGTGAGAGTGCGAAAGCACCGTCCGGCAGGTGCCGGGGAATAGCTCCCAGTTCGCAGCAGCGGCGCTGGCCAGGCGGGCAGCTGGACGGAGAGCTGGACTCTCCTGTCGCCGCGGCCATGGCAGCGCACATGCGCGAGACGGTAGAGCAAAACCCGGAAGTCGGAGCGGAGATCTCTTGCATTTCGAACGCACGGGCACGGGCGCAGACGACGTCGGGGGCGGCGGTGGCCGCCAGCCAGCCGTCCGCAGACTGCGCGGTGGTCGCGGGGGGAGACCCGAGCGGCGCGGGGCCGGGCGGGACGCGGCGCGGACCTGCGACAGCGCGGAACGCGGCGAGCGCGCGCTGATGACGTCAGCAGAGCGCCGAATCGCGCTGGGCTCCAGCGGCAGCTCGGGGGACGGCGCGGGCCGACCCAGAGCGAAAACCGAGGCAGCGCCAGGCCTGACAGAGAGAATGGGGGGGGATGTTCCCGAGGGACGGCCGCCCGGAGCCAGTGCAGGCGGGCGCGGTTGGTGCGGGGATTCCTTCCCTTGTTCCCATGGCGACACAGACAGAGAGGCTGCGCATGCGTTTGTGAGAGTTAAAGCGAACGCG